TCTCTTCAGGAGTTCCAGTAATATTTAAATCATCATCATATATAGCAACTATCACAAACCACTTTTCGAATTTCTCTATAAAAGTTCATAAATAAATATGGTTATTTTTATAACCTTCTTTCAATAAATATTTATTGAAATAATTATACCACATGCACACAGAGTTAATAAAGAGTATATATTGAAAAATAAAATATAAAAATAAATATAAAAAGTATAGCATAAATTGAATTTCTAAAACCTAAAATAATAAAAATAATACTAAAATAATTCTGATAGAGATCTCTATAATTTAATTGAATTCATTTCTCGGGAATATGTATTACATGCTTCGAGCATCTTAAATCCTCCTAAGACTTTCATATAGATATCATTTCGGATGAACAAATAAATTGTGACCATATTTATTAAATACATGAATATGAATTTTTTTCATATATTTTATTGGGCTAATGAGATAACAAAATATAATTGTATCCATTATAGGAGAATATGTCTCTTCATAGTCAATGTCAATTCTTTGCAAAAACTCTTGTATTAAAAATTTTGTTTTGTATCTTATAATCTCATATTTCTTATTTCGTTTTCTTATAAATACATATTTGTATCTCACTAGCTTAACATCTTCGGATGTTTTAGCTATGGGTTCAAAAAATAACTATTTTGTAAGAGAACATAATTCTGCTCGGATTGCTCTTTTCATTTAGGACAATCATCTTTATGTCAATACTCTTTAATAAATTTTGAATCGGGATTCTTATTTTCATTTAAAATATCAATTGCAACATTATATGTAAAAATCTTATCAATAAATATTTCTTTTCGCTCCTATTTTCTCCTTGTATTGACATAATTTATCAAAATCTCTTGATTTTTCTCAAGCATTTAGACTTCTTCTAAAAGCTTATTATCGAAATATCTTGAACCGTTTTATGAATATTTACATTCTTTATATTTTAATTGTTTGCTCTTTTCTTTTGGGGATTTTTGCTTTTATAATCGATCAGTTTTCCACGCTTTCGTGCGTGCTTTAGATTCATTAGCTATAATATTAATAGACTATCCTTCTAGGACATAAATTATAACGAAAGCATTCTTAGTGGGGACATGCATTTTAGTTACTCTTTTAAGATCCGAGAATGCATCTAGCAATTGGTTTGTAATACTTTATAAATGAATTATCTTCCGAACTTCTAGTTCATATTATTTTCTACCAAGTTGATACAAAGATAAAGCACTCCATGTAATCTCTTTTTTCAATATTTTCAACTCGCTTGGTTTATTTATTCTCTCCTCCTAATGTTAAAAAAATTATTTCATCAAATTGACGAGTCGATAAATCGAGCTATAAAAATATCTCTTATTCATGGTTCAAGATATTTAATTATTGAAAAGGATTCAAATCCAACATATACTTTCAATCTCCTTTAACTCGCTCCTTTTAGTTCATTATGGAGAAGCATTGCGGATATATACTCGCAATGCCAAAAAAATTCTTAAATAAGAAATATTTGGCTTATGACCATAAACCAATTAAATGAGGAAGAATTTATGATAACTTATTGGTTTGATGTGAATAAGTGTTGCTGCATGTAAGATTCCATGTCCCCAAACATAAATAGGAAGTTTTTTTTTTATAAATAATGGTTTAGCTATTGATTGAAACCTTTTGATAAATAATTATGCTAAACCTTTTCAAGTATAAACATAAGCAATAGGTTGTTCGATCTTTATTCTAATAGCCAATCAATAATAGTTTAATGCTTGAGAAATAAATTCACTAGCATTATCAAGGTGACTTGTTTTAATGGCATAATCTAAAAATTATGCTCAAAATCAAATTATTTGCTAGCAATCTCGAAAATGTCGGGTTTTGAGTAGATAATGAGCATATACGTGATCATCTTATGGATGCATTTATTAAAATAATAAAATATCTAAATGGTCCATATGGTGGATGAACTGATCCATATATATGATCACTTTGAATACATTCTAAAAATAATAAAGATTTAATCTTAATTTTACTTAGTGATGGCTTAATCATCAATTTACCTTGATAACATGCGGAACATGAAAATTTATTAAATTGAAAAATCTTCTAGCTCTTCAGTAGATGTCTATTATATATTTTTAATAATATTTTTGCATCATGAAAGACCCAAGATAACATAGCTGGTCATGTTACATAATAAAAGTATTTGAATTAGTAAATTTCGGTTTACTATAACATTTGTTTCAATCATTCCAATATTTGTAATAAAGACTAGAAGAGAAAGCGGATAAATTTTTTAATATATATTTTCTATCCAATATAATAATTATAATAAATAAGTACTCGATACTTTTCACATTTGTTGTCTTGATATGATATCATTTTAGATGAATATCTTTTAAAACTCAACAAATTTCTATGAGACTTTAAAGAGAATAATACATCATTTATAATAAAATTTATCTTTTCGGATAATAATATATTTGCTCTTTTAAAACCTTTAAATATGTCACTGCAAGTAATAATATATTCACTCTTCTAGAGCCTTTAAAAGTTATCTCTTCAAGTAATAATATATTCGCTCTTCTAGAGCCTCAAAAATTTGTTTCTTCAAGCAATAATATATTCACTTTTTTAAAGCCTTTAAAGTTTGTCTCTTCAATTAATAATATAGTCGCTCTTCTAGAGCTTTCTATTAGATTGATATTATCATACATAATATTAACATAGAATAAATAAATAAATAAATACAAAATAAATATATTCTTTATAAATAAATAAATAAATAACAAAATAAATTTATCACTATTTCTATGCAATAAAAATTATAAAAAAATATAAAACATCTTATTTATAAATAGAAAAAATAATAAGTTATTAATTTCAATTACCTTTATTTTTTATATATAAAATTGGCCTCTATATTTTACTCTTTTTTTCTTCAACGAGGTTTTACAAGGCTTAATAAGATGCTTTGGTGTAATGTCCATTCATACTATAGTTATAACATTCATTTTTAGAGTACTAACTTTACCTATTTTTATTATTTTTTCTTTTTGTTTTTCATATTTATCCACTTCTAGTGGTGAGATGTAATATTATGGTCATCACGATTATAATGATAATTATTCCGACCATGTCCTTGGCTATAACCACATTTTCGTCCATGTCTAAAATTATTATAAATTGTCACATTCACATAAGAGAATGGAATATATCTAATTAGACGAGATTTATTTTTTTCATCAATAACTTGTCGTTTTATTTAGCTACGAGCAAATATGAAATCAATTTAGAATATTTCTTAAACTCATTTTCTCGCTATGCTACTACATGAGCATATTCGAGATATGAAAAGTAGAGAATATTTACACAGTATCAAACACTCATGATCATTAATTCTTAACCAAAATGTCAAGGGTCACAAAATAAAGTTTTGTGAGGTTTGATATCATAAAAATTCTAAAATGCAAAGTATAATAATAATATTAAGCAATAAAAAATAAAATTTAATGATAAAATTTAAATAAAAACAAACATAAAATTTAAAGATTTCACACAATATATATAAGATTATTGAATTCTATATATTAAATCCTTTAAGTTTTAAAATGTATATTTTATGTATCATTAGATTTAAAGTGCATGATAAATTAGATACATACCTCTTAATGATATAAGTAATTTAGATCTTTTGGTAGAGCACTTGTGCGAGAAAATAATCCAATAATGGAAACAAATGATTAAGTCTTTTAGTAGATATATATCTCATGATCTATTATCTCGATTGGTTAGAGCTTCGTGCCGATAACGTATTATAAAAGAAATGGTAACAATGATAGAATTTGAAAGAAAAATAATAGAGAATGATTTCACTATGAAATAAAGTGAATATAAGAAATAACAACTCTAAATATTCCCTCAATCTCTACAAAATACTTGTGCATCAACTAATGAATAATCAAGCATATTTATAGGCTTCAAGATGAAGGAGAGAATTGGAATGAACTATAAACTATTAAAAAATACATGAATTGTATCACCCTTTCAATTTTTCATATTGAATGGTGAATTGAATCATATTAAGAATAATGGGTAGTGGGAATATAAAATGGTTGTGGATATTCATTATTTCATAACAATAATCATATTATAGTATTTGATATTATTTAAGCGATTAAGAAAAATGGAACTAACATAAAATAATGGATTTTGTATACATCGAGACCATGTACAATTCATTTTTTTTTTTTTGAGATTCTAAGTTTTTTTTTTATCCAATTTAAGAGTTCTACTCTTATATTATTATTTGAAACCCTAATATACCATATAAGCACACGTAGTAAGCTCTACAAGCTTTATCCAATGATAGCTTGTCATGTGTCACGGTAGGCTCAAATTGGGTGATTGAATTAGTGATGTGGCAAACCGTTATTGGTTAGAACTTATTACTTGTGCTTATGTGACAAGCTGTTTTTAGTTAGGGCTCGAAACAATAACATAAGAGTAGAATTCTTAAAGAAGACGGAAAAAAAAATTTAAGATCTCAATATAAAAAAAATCTAAATTATGCAGGATCTCAATATGTGTAAAACCCATAAAATAATTGAAATGAAAATCACATCAACTTTAATAATGTGATATATAGATCAATTTATTGGTTGGACTAATATATCCGAAGTAATAGGTTTTTTTTTTAAAGGTAATTCTAACTGTGTTTTTGGCTTAGGGGAACTTGGATCATCTAAGTTGGGATAATCCTTCTCCTCATCCTCCAATTTCTATTCATCTTTCATAAGATTCAAACCGATTTCAATATGAGACGTAGTAAACATAACAAGTCTTGAGCGAAGGAATTAAATTGACAAGATACATAGAGAACAAAAAGTACTGAAATACAATGATAATAAAATAAAATAAAATACAGAAATACATACCAAATATTCCAGATTGTTATGTACTTATTGGGACAAACACAGTAGAAAACACAAGGTCAATAAGATAGCTAATTCATTTTGGTTAGATTGGTAGTACATGAACAGAAAAGTCTGCCCTCATTATCCTCGGATGGAAATAGTGCTTTATAGGTTTGAATCGAACTTAATATAATGGCAAAAACTGCAGCAGCAAATGCCAAAAAGGCCCAAGGGCTATTAAAATGAGTATGCAGCCACTCAGCTATCCATTTCTTGATGAGATTCCTGTAATGCGACTCAATTTTATGTTGGACCTTATGGTAAGCATCAGGGTTAGGCACCAAGTAATCAGATATCTCATTAAAGAGATCTGCAACCTGTTGATCACTTCCGAGAAAATTGTAAAGGATGCCCTTAGATCGAAGCTCCTTCACATCGTCAGCATGATCTATCAATGAATCCATGAAGCATATGTAGGAATTGACTCGTAAATCTTGGGATGCATCAGGACATGTTTCGTAGGCCACCAAGTTTAAAAGTACAGACTTGGTCGAGTCGTCTATGAAAATTGGAGGAAGTTCGAGAATTCCACCACGAAGTGTTGATTTAAACCGAACACCTGTTAAAAGATCATGATCAGTCCTGCTTGGCCTGAAACTGATCCCCACTGTCTTGAGCTCCTTGGCGGAACGGAATGAGCGCAAATCTGCGTCCCCGTTAGTAGAATTGTTTACTATTGCTTTTCTGCCACTGAGCTCCTTGTGTAAAAGTTCAAGAAGATGGGCAGGCTGATGATCTCCGAGTTCTTTCTTTTCGGTCCTTGTTTGATCAGTTCGTGATGGCCAAGTGTATTTGCTCACAAACTTCATTATTATTTGCTTGTAGGATTCGGATGGAGGAGGTAGTCCACGAACATGCTTGGTGATGAAATCAATAAACAGCTTTTTCCCTTCTGCTTCTCCTTTGAACCTCAAGCTCATCATTGTGTTGAGGACTTGGAAAGGCAGTTGGTTCTCAAGTAAGAATATGTCCCGCTTGATAAGTGCTGAAATATGCCCGTTCATCCTCAGATCTTCAGGCTCTTTCACAAAGCAGTAGATGAATTGGATAATGAAGCAACCATCAAGAAACATCATGTGCGCAAATTCTTCATTGCCAAAGCGTTCTGTTGAGCCCTCATCATAATATTTCCTTGCACTGTTTGCCACCTTTTCCACCTTATTATAAAGGACTTCAATTGGTTTTCCACTATCTTGTACAAACCTGCGCGCCATTGTAGCCTTGATCCTCTCTACTTCATAAAGCTCTGGTTTCCCATGGTGATAAGGGCCAACGGACACCACCATAGGATCATAGCACTTTTGTTTTGAGTGAATCCCACGAAGTACCGGTGGAACCTTATGAATCCTTGGCACAATCTGTTGGCTATTTCCGGTCTCTCCCTCGCCAGCCATTATAGATTTTAACCACTCATCATTGCTAACTGAAGAGTTTGAACTTGCACCATTTTCTATCACAATATTTAGTGTTTCAGCCATTCTTAGTAGAAGAGGCTATGAACAAAGACGCTATCTTTCTCAATGCACATTATACCCAGATATTTTTCTATTAATACTCCTAGAGGCAAACGACTTTCCAGCTGGGTGGAGCCAAAGGATGGGAACGAGAATCTTGTAGCTTTCTTGGAAACTCTCAAGTACTTTGTCCAAGAAGATTGTAGCAGTTTAACAAAAGAGAACTAGTCTACTAGAATTAAAAACGAAAGAGAACATTGATAAAGATAAAGATCACGTTTTCCAGAACTTGTAATAGCGCTTTCATTCCAAATTAATTGGTCTGTTTCCTTGATCTGTGAATTTTAAAATCAGAAAAGTAACCATCATTCCATTATCCTATCATGAAGATTCTCTCAGTTTTTTTTTATGAGTGCTTTACTATTCATTGAATGTGCAGCACAATAAGTTAACAACCAATAAGAAATCAGAAGTTATTATCAATTCATACTTTAAGCATTAAGCCATTATATAGCACGTTTGCGCATAAACAAAGTCTTTTAGTTGGCCAAACCCTTAAGCAAGAACCTGTACCGCTTGATAAAGAATCAATACCATTCTGCCATATGAAGATTGGTGATCAGGTTTTAACAGGTAGATCATTCTCATCTTTTGAGGAAACTTTAAGATACATGTGCTAGAGTTTACATTTAATTATTGCTAGCAATGTTAACTCACAATGCATAGTTTAACCTTAGCTTTAAGACACGAGTAGAGTGGGTAATAAACTTGTGATGATGTGTGTGGTTTGTTATTTATTTAGCCAATAACCAGGCATTAAAGCATGCATTTCGATATATATGAAAAAACTGCTGTATGAGATGGAATAGAGGAAGAATAAAGATAAGTTTCTCTCCTTCAAGAACCCTTTTCCTGTTCACATCTTTGTTTCAGCTAAAGGATTTAAAATTTGGCCTGAAGGATTGGACTTGTTGCAAGGTTATAATGTATGAAACAATAAAGAAATTGAGTGGGGTTCTTGAAAATTGGTCATGTTTTGGAGTGGCATAACTCATGGACTAAAAATAATAGGGATTCCTTCACTCTTTCAGCCTCCGTAGATATAAAAATTCTCTCTTATAAGCAAACCACGTATCACAAAAAACCTTTTTTGGTTAAATGAAAGTTAAAGTCTTTGGTAAAATCGTTGTGAGATCTAAGCAATTTTTATCTCTAATCCTATTCTTTTGAGTATTTTATATTTTTTTATATTATATGAATATGATTGTATGGTTGATTGAATAGAGTGCATGCTATTTGATTAATCATTATAATCTATTGCTAGCTAAGTGTTCAAGTTCGTAATTACTTATCTAAACTTGCTTGTGATAGCAATTACGGATTAATGATTATAAATGGGTTTTTGTTTAATCCTTTAGAAAACATAAAACTAGATTAAATTCTTCTAGCATCTTGGAGGGTTGTTTAGTTTCACATATCTTTCTATTATTTAATGTTATTATTGGATTAAATCTAGATAGTGTCTACTAGGTTGTTCAATAATTAGGGATTAATCAAATAGCGTCTATTTGATTAACAAATCACCGAGGAAGGATTGAGGATAACATACATGTTGTTGTCTTACGATGGATATTCATAATAAGGATGGATTAATATATGAATCGATGATCAACGATTAAGCCAATAGTGAAAACCAACCATTAAACAAGATTTTCATTATTATTGTTATCTCTTTACTTGCGTTACTATATTTAATACTCTCAAGATACAAAACCTTTTTTTCCCGTACTTTACTTTGGAACAATCAAACAATTAAAAGAACATTGATGGAACTATTTCTCTGTAGGATCAACCCTTATTTACCTTAACTACGGTTCTATGATTGGGTCTAGTGAGCAAAAAATAAATAATTAATTTGTTGACGGTACGACACGACATTAAATTTTGATACCATTGCCGGGGACTTTCGTTTTATCAATTACTTTTCTTATTCTAATTGTTTTTATTTATTTATTTTAAAATGACTTGATATTCTCAATAATTTGACTCTCAATATGAGCTACAATTTAAGAGATTTAAAGTGGTAAACTTATCTTCTATTGTGCAACAGATTGATAATCTAACATCTCTAGTAAGTCAAATGGCTTTAGAAAATATGTAACAAATCCATAATCGGGGCATATGTTCAATATCAAGCCACTCATCGGATATGTGCCTAATGCTTTAAGAAGAACCTAGTGGTATGTCTTATGGTATGAAAGGATTTTCAGAATAGCCACACTACCCATATAACCCTACTCCAAGCACTTACACTAGTTATAAGAATCAAGTGGTTGACAATGCAATTCACAACCATCAAGGATATCAACATGTCCAACTACCATTCTAGGCTAGACAACAAGCTACTCCAAATTCAGGTATATCTCTTAAGGATATTGTTAATTCTTTTATGAATGACAATATGCGGTTTTGTAGGAAACAAATGTAAGCCTTTGAAATTTAAAGGTTCAAATGTGTCAATTAGCTACACTTATAGGTGGGGTAGTAGTACAAGCTATAGCAATTTGCCCCCTTAAATAAAAATGAGTTCAAAACAACATTCAAGTATAGTAAATGAGGGAGAGGATGTGTTTGAAGAAGAGGAAGTTATTGAAGTTGTCGAAATAAAGATAAGTTATAATGAAGAGTAGAATAAGATTGTGTTTGTTAATGAACCGGTCAAGCAAGAAAACAACATTGAGCAAATGGACTTGGAAAATATTTATGACATGCCCACTATTAAATTTGTCATTCCAAATAAGTTCAATAACGATGCTAACAAAATTGACTTTTGCTTGCCATTATTGTTTTCTATATTATATTAGGTTAAAAAGTTAGAGGTGAAAATTTGAGGTAAAATAATGAAATAGAAATTGTTATTCCTTTGGCCTAATTTTGGCCTAGATGAGGAAAACTATGGAAAGGATTAGTTTTGAAATTGAAAGATGTTCTTAAGGCTTAGAGATATGAAATGGCATGAAAAATGATTACACTCATGTGAGTAATGAATTGGTAATGCTTGTTTAAATATTTCAGTCATGATTTGTTTTTAAGGCATTGTTTATGTTCATTGTTTATTCATGTTTTGGCATGCATACTTGATTGATGTTGAATATGTATCTGATTTATTATATATTTTATATGTTATTGAGGTTTGTAAGTATGCATGTTGAGGTTTACATATATGCATTGCTTTTCAAATTAAATGCATTTGTATATCAATCATGAAACGAGTTTTACATTCATGACTTTGATAAAAGGAAAAGAAAAAGGAAAAAGGAAAGGTTTTCAAGAATGAATGGCTAGTAACTTTTTAAGGTTATAGGAGAGGAATGATCGTCCTCTCTTGAGGAAAAGGACATGTTAAAGGAATGATAGGATGTATACCCTTAACATGTAAAGAAAAATGAGGATATATTAAGGAAATGATTTGGTGTATACTTTTAACTCTGTAACGAAAAATGTTATAGGAAGGTATTTAGTGCTTTTGTGAAGTTTTCACAATTGCATGTTTTAAAAGAGGATCGATTATATACATAATCGGCAGGGAAAATAAATTTCAAAAGGTAGAAAATGATTTTTAAATGCATCACGTGCAGTACATGTGTTGCATGGATTACATTTACTGAGCATCTCTCACATTTGTTTCTTATGGTGTAGGAGAAAAAAAGATAATTAAGGACCATCGTCAAGAAAAATTAAAGACTTGCCTTTTTTTGTGCTCAGTATATTAAAATGTGAGAAACTTTACATTTGCTTAACTTAATTTTGGTTATGTATATTGGTAATAAGTTAAGAAAATTTTGATTTATAATACTAAATGATATGATTTGAATGGTAAGTTAATGTGGTGATAAGGATTGAGTATTTACATAACTTAATAAACTAATTGATCACTTGATTAATTGATATGATTAAAATGAATTAATTGATTATGGAAAAGAAGTGATTAAAGGTAGAATGAAGGTAGTAACTAAATGATTACCTAATTTAGTAACTAATGAATTAAGGATAAAAAGTACGAATTGAAATGGTATGGTAAAATGTGTTAGCAAGATAAAGGCATAAAATGAAATTGATAGTCAATGAATAAATGCATTTAATGGATTAGTTTTAAATAAGTTAGGAACCAAAGTTTCATAAATCCAAAAGATGTTTTAAATGGCCAAAACTCTAGTTAAGAGTGCAAATGAATTTATTAAATGCTTAATTGAATTAATGGAATAAGTCCCTAGCCTATGAAATTTTTATAAAAAATAATGGCATTAAATCTTGATTTAATGGTTACTATTCATTGATTGTTTTCTAATTAAATGTAATACATGATAATTAAATTATTTTTGATATAAAAATAATGTCAAATAATCCTACTTTATGGTATGGGATATTTGAAAATGAAATAATCCTAAATTAAATTTTATACGAATTTCTAGAAGGAATTTGGGGGGGGGGAAGAGATGGTTCAAATTAGTTTAATATAAAGTATTTTATTTTAATAATTAATTTGGATTTCAAGAATATGAATTTTTGACCAAAATATGGCATTTAATATTTCTATACATGTTATAGAAAATATTAATTAATGTTAGTTGAATTTTTGAAAATTTTTATACCTAAGTTTCATTTAATGTAGACCTATTATATCTTATTAATTAGAGATCTCATACAAAAATTCTCACTTTGTTAATAATTTAGAAATGATAAGAAATAAGACTTGTTGGCTTGTATTCATCGCGCTTCAAGTGTAAGTCAGTCGATAATACTCTATGTCTATCTAGGTCGAGGGTGTTACACGGTGATATCGAGCAAGTTGACCCTAGTAATCCGACTTAGGATGACCGATTAAACACACTCAAGTCAAGTCTCGAAAACAATTTAGGATCAAATGTATGTGATTTTCAATAAATTGTGATTATATATGTTTATTTGATATAATGTGAATGTTATTTGGACTATGATGGTTTGATTATGAATGTGAATGTGTT